AATCAGAGCAACTTGACATACAGACCATCCCCCCAGTACAGCCAAGTGCAGACCATCTCAGACACCTGCACTCAGGCCCATGGTCCTAATCATCCTCTATGCAAACCTGCTGGGTAACGCCACAAGGAACCCAAGAAGGGCTCCCACAGGACATACATTAACATCCCACAGCAGCCCATCTCCCATTCATGGCCACAGTATTGGAGTTTCCTGAGCACTCAGCAGAATCCTCCCTCCACCCCCACCCCACCCCCACACTCCCCACCCCCGAGCCTCCAGAATCGGGATCACCTGCGGCCTGGCTCCTTAAACCATGAAAAAGCAGCCAGTTTTCTGGTCAGGCCAACAGCAGGGCCCCATCCTGACCTGGCAGAACCACCAGCCAACCCAGAGCTTCGGTGGTGCTGGGCCAGAGCCCCACTCACCCACCCCACCTGTAAACTAGGCAGGAGCTGGGGAGATCCCCTTCTCTCACAGAACTGAACCTTCCTGACCCCAGAGCTGGGCCTTGCACCAAACAAACAACAAACTCTCAGCAGCCATCCTAAAAAAAAAAAAAAAAATCTTGAAATATACATGAGATAAAACCTATTCGTCGTCAGACCCAGCAAAGAAGTTCTTGTTTGTTCACTTTCTTACATTAAAATCATGGTAAACTGGGGCTGGAGAAATGGCTCCATGGTTAAAACACTTGTTCCTACAGATGACCCGGGTTTGAATCCTAGTGCCCATATGGCAGCACACAACTGTCTAACTCCAGCCCCAAGGGATCCAGTACCCTTTTCTGACCTCAGCAGACACCAGGCATACATGTGCTATACAAACTATGCAGGCAAAACACCCATACACAGAAAACTTTAAAAGACATGTGATAAACTTAATTTTTTTATTTTTTAAATTAAAAGTTTTATTTCATTATGTGTATAAGTGTTTTACCTGCATGTATGTCTGTGTACCACATGCATACTTGGTAATAGAGGAGGCCAGAAAAGGATGTCGGATCCCCTGGAACTGGAGTTACAGATGGTTGTGAGCCACCATGTGCATGCTGGGAATTGAACCTGAGTCCTCCGCAAGAGCAGCCAATGCTCTTAACCTCTGAGCCATCTCTCCAGCCCCAGATTTTGAAGTTTTTACTTATTTAGTTTTCTCAAGGCAATAAACATGACTGAGATGACTCACTGGTTAAGAGCAGGTTCTGCTCTCCTGGCACAGGAAGTGAGTCCAGAGCCCAGCATTTGTGTCAGAGTGCACAGGACTCCTTCTGCAGGACCCGACACCCTCTTCTGGTCTCTACAGGTAACCGCTCTCACAGGCACCATCCGACCACACACAATTTTTTTTTTTTTTTTTTTTTTTTTTGGTTTTTCGAGACAGGGTTTCTCTGTGTAGCTTTGCGCCTTTCCTGGGACTCACTTGGTAGTCCAGGCTGGCCTCGAACTCACAGAGATCCGCCCGCCTCTGCCTCCCGAGTGCTGGGATTAAAGGCGTGCGCCACCACCGCCCGGCCACGACCACACACAATTTAAAAGCATTAAAAAATTCTAAAATATCCATCTTCATATGGCTCATAGGATTGATTGTTAAACTATTTAAACTTGATTATTATTGATGAACCTTACCTCACATTCCTGATATCAAAAGTATGAAAAAAGCAGGGCCCCAGAAAGGCTGTGAGACAGGATCATGCTTCCTTGGTTCTGTAGGCTTCACTTCCTTATTGTTTGTAAACATTCTCTTGCTAGTAGGCAACCATAGTTGCTTTTTTTTTTAAAAAAAAGATTTATTTATTTATTATGTATACGGCATGTACATAGTTGCTTTTTTATAAAGAAAACTAAGAGGAAAAGCTGATGTCTCCTCTCTCTTGCTGAAGGTGGTTGGAGGCAAGGTGAAAAAGCCTGGTAAACGAGGGCGGAAGCCAGCCAAGATTGACTTGAAAGCAAAACTTGAGCGGAGCCGACAGAGTGCAAGAGAATGCCGGGCCAGGAAAAAGCTGCGGTACCAGTACTTGGAGGAGTTGGTGTCCAGTCGGGAAAGAGCCATATGTGCACTTCGAGAGGAACTGGAAATGGTAAAGTCTTTCAGCAGCAAGACCAACACCCCTCCCAACTCGGCTGTCCGTGGGGCACCCAGTGAAACAGCAGTTATACCAGTCTTCACCTGTCCAACTGGCAAACGCCAGAAAGAATGCCAGTCTTTTATGCCACATTGTAGGAAAATGGGTATTTTTTTAGTAGAGTGCTGGAGGGAACATTAAGGTATTGTTTATGATAGAAAAACATTTGGGACTGGAGTGATGGCTCTGTAGTCAAGAGCACTGGCTGCTCTTCCAAAGGTCCTGGGTACAATTCCCAGCAACCATACGGTGGCTCACAACCATCTTTGATGGGATCCAATGCGCTCTCCTGGTGTGTAGGCATATATGCAGACAAAGTACTCATAAATTACATAAACTTTTAAAAAAGAGCTGTAGCTCTCCCCAAATTGAAAAAAAAAAAAAAAGGTAAAAAAGCAAGGATCCCATTTTTAAAAAGAGAAAAGGAAAAAACAATGTACAAAGGGCTGATAGGATGGCTCAGCAGGTAAAGGTGCTTGCCACCAAGATTAATGACCTTCATTCAACCCCCACTAACCCGCCCGGTGGCTGGAGAGAACCAGTGCCTGCAAGTTTCCTCTGACTTCCACATGCAGCTCATGGCACTGTAGTAAGTGGGATGAGAGTTAAAAATGATGAGGATGCAGCTTAGTTGGTAGAGTGCTTATCTAGCATGCAGGAGGCTGTGCACTGGGTGCCAGCACTGCATGAAATGGGTGTGGTGACACAAGCCGTAGTCCTCACTCAGGGGATGGAGGAGGCAGGAAGATCAGAAGTTCAAGGTCATTTCCAGCTATCTAATGAGTTGGAAACCAATCTAGGATACATGAGACCCTGTCTTAACCCACCCCCAAATAAAGACTAAAGAGCACTAGCAGATTGTTTAGCTATAAATCACACTGTATTCCTATATGAGACTACTTGTGACCAGTGTGGGGCGATCACAATGCAGCCAAGTTTGGGGAAGCACTTAGAAGGCTGAGGCAAGACACTAGTACCTGGGGTACCGAGGACCCGTCCCCTAAAATCACAGTGCACATACGTATTTACTGATGGGGAGGGATGCTCATGATGTATTGCTAAGTGGGAAAAGCCACATAATAGTCCATAATTCTGCAGGGAGGCTGCCACTTGTGTTCCCATGAATTTATTTACTTTACATTCAGAGTTTATTGCAATCGTAGAAATGTGAGAGTAGAAAAATAATTAAAACCCTTTGACAGTGAACTCAGGGATGCGGTAACAGGTGAGAGAGGAGATGTTACTAACATGACTATTGCAAAGCTGGCTTTTCAGAAAGTAATGAAGCTGGGTGTGCGGTACATGCCTGGGATCCCAGCACTTGGGGGATAGGGACAGGAGGATCAGGAGTTCAAGGCCAGCCTCTGGACTCTATGAATAGACTATGTTTAAAAAGAAAACATGCAGGGCTGAGGAGATGACTAAGTGAGCAGGGTCCTGAGAGCTGATCCTCAGGACCCACATAAAGCAGGATGTATGGTAGTGCACATCTGTAGTCCTGTGCTCCTTGGCAAGATGAAGGACAAAAACAGCAGTTTCCAGAGGCTCAGGGGCCAGCCAGGCTGGCCTATGCAGCAGCAAATGGCAAGTGACCCCTGTCTTAAGAGGGAAGAGGACGGACACCTATGCTGTCTTGTAGATGTAACCAACCGTCTTATTAAATAAGAAACACAGAACCAATGTAAAAGAGAAAGCCAAGAGATCAGAGCTAAAATCTCACCCTTCCTCCTGGGGTGGTCTTAGCTTCCCGAAAGAGAGCTATTTCCCTGTGTGTATGTCCTTTCATAGTCATTCTGCCTTCTCATTGGTTGTAAACCCAAACACGTGACTGCCTCGTCACTGTCTGTATGTACAGCCCCCCAGATCTTTTTTTTTTTTTTAAAGATTTATTTATTTATTATGTATACAGAAGAGGGCACCAGATCTCATTGCAGATGGTTGTGAGCCACCATGTGGTTGCTGGGAATTGAACTCAGTACCTCTGGAAGAGCAGTCGGTGCTCTTAACCTCTGAGCCATCTCTCCAGCCCATAGCCCCCCAGATCTTAAAGGCATATGTCTCCAGTGCTGGCTGTATCCCTGAACACACAGAGATCTATGGGATTAAAGGCGTGCGCCACCACCGCCATGCTCTTTCTATGGCTCTAATAGCTCTGACCCCTGGGCAACTTTATTTATTAACATACAATCAAAATCACATTTCAGTACAATTAGAATACCACCACACTGTCTTATGTGACTTCCACACGTGCAACTGATACAAGCCCCAAGAATTTAAAAAGAGGGAGGGGTCAAGATGACTCACGGAGTGAAGCGCTTACCACACAAGCCTGTCAGCCTGAGTAGTTTGAGCCTCAAGAGACACATTCAGGTGGAAGATGAGAGCCAGCTCACCAGATTGTCCTCTGACCTTCACATAAATGCTGTGGCATGTAAGCTCACACACACAGTAGTAATGAGTACAATTTTAAAGGGCACTGAGGTGTAGAGGGAATCTTAAAAGTTCTTATTAATAAAATCAAACCTGAGGCCAGTTATTGGGGTCAATGCTGGTAGATCAGAGAGACAGAACAAGCCACAGCTATCTCACCTCGCCGGATCCTCAGCTGGTCTTGTCTCCTCAGACTGGAGGCCTCTGAGTCCTCATCCTAATGGCTCTCAGCTGAATTGCTGCTCAAAAGCCTGAATGCTTAACCAGCCACATGTTTAATCAGCCAAATGCTTAACCAGCCAAATGCCTCTAGTTTCTGGTCCTCACGCCTTATATACCTTTTTGCTTTGTGCCACCACTCTCTGGGATTAAAGGCTGGCTTTCTGGGATTAAAGGCGTGTCACCATGCTTGGCTGTTTCCAGTGTGGCCTTGAACTCACAGAGATCCAGAGGGATTTCTATCTCTGGAATGCCAGGATTAAAGGTGTGTGCTATCACCGCCTACATAGTGGCTTTTCTGTTCTCTGACCCCAGATAAGTTTATTAGAATACACAATATTTTTGGGCAACACAATACCACCACATTGAGGAGATGACTGGGTGAGTCACTTGCCATGCAAGCATGAAGGCCTGAGTTCAATCCCAGAACCCACATAGCAGGCACAGTGGCACACACTGTACTGGGGCAGGGGAGATGAGGGCCCCTGGAGCCAGCCGGCCAGCAATCTAGCCAATCAGTGAGCTCCCAGGTCAGGGAAAAGGAAGAGGGGGGTGATTCAGGGAGACACCCAGCATCAACTGCTAGTCTCTACACAAACTCTTGTGCAGCGAGCGAGACATGCACACACGCATGTGTGCACACATACCCATGCACAAAAGCAAAGAAGTAATAAGGGCATTAAGAGAGGAAAGTAAGTATGCTCTAGATGATGCTATTCAGTTTATTTTTGTAATACATTGCTATTGATTTTTATGCTGAATTTGATCTGTTATATGTCATTATTAATAATGATTATTTTAGCTTCTACAATCTAAGTTGCCTGAGGGCAGAATCTCTGATTTGCTTCACTTTGTATACCCCCGAAGTCCATAGTGTACACTGTGGTAGAATGTGTGTGTTCTCATACATGTAATAGTAATGTGTACAGCTACTACTGGTAGTTACTTAGTGAATATTTACTAGAGAAAGGAAATCACTACAAGTCTCCCCACACCCAGTACTGGGTATCAAACCCAAGGCCTCTTGCATACTCAGCAAGTGCTCTAGCAGTGAGCTACAGCCAAGCCCTCAGGGGAGCTCTTGTGTCTAGGATTTCCACACGTGCTGCCTGAACTCTGACTTAGCGTCTTACTTAACTGTATTAAATATTTCAGTACAAGCAATGGTGCATGGCAATGGACCAAGGGAAAATCCCTTCTGAAATAAGGGCCCTACTCACTGGAGAGGAGCAGAACAAGGCTCAGCAGAACTCAAGCAGGCATCCCAAAGCTGGGAAGACAGAGGCTAACACCAATTTGTGTGAGTACCAACTACAGGAGCATTCCTGTTAAGCAAGCATCTCAAGGTGGAGTGTGTGTCAACCACTAAGCCATGTGACTTGAAATAAAGTGAAGCACTAATGTCATTTTAGAAACACTAATCAGCAAGTGTTGTGGCAGAGGAGCCTAAACCCTGAAATGAAAGCCAGCTAAGGCTGAGTGTGGTTGGTATATACCTGCTCTGCCATCACTTAGGGAAACTGCAAGTTGGAGGCCAGCGTGGGCTTCATAGAAAGACCTCATGTCAAAAGACAGAACAACCCAGCCAGTGATGACTGTATGGTAGACAGTCCGTAATTTAAATGGCCCAGAGTTTAGTTAATGCCACTTTCTTTAATGCGTTGTTACTCACAGCTTACGAGGTACTTTAACATTTAACTTGGACATTTCCTCCAGTAGTAGTGCTAAAGAACTGTATTTTTAGGTGGCTATGTGTTAAGAGTTAGCATGCTCTAGGCCAGTGGTTCTCAACCTTCCTAATGTTGTGATTCTAATGCAGTTCCTCATGTTATGGTGGTCCCCAGTCATAAAATTATTTTTTATTGCTGCTTCAGAACTGTAATTTTGCTACTGTTATGAATTGTAAGCTGGGTGGTGGTGGCACATGCCTTTAATCCCAGCAGTCAAAAACAGAAAAATAAAGGTGAATTGTAATGTAAATATGTTTGGAGATAGAGGTTTGTTAAAGGAGTCTCGACCCACAGGTTGAGAACCACCGCTCTAGGCCCAGGATCGGTCCCAGGACAAAAACCAAAACAGGGAAATGAGGAGAAATAGCAAAGTGGCTGGGTGAGGCCCTGGGCTCTCAAGTGTAACTTTAGAAGCTAGTCTCACAAGTGCAGGCTCTTGCTACAGTAAGTTGTAACTGAGGGTGTTTTTCTTCTTTTACAGTGCTGGGGAATTGAACCCGTGGCTTCAGAAATGGAAGGTAAGTTCTCTACATGCCCAGCCCACAGTTGTTTTTATATTTGTTGAGGTGAAATTCATGTAACATGAAATGAACAACTTCAAAAAAAATCTATCATTTTAAAATGTCAAGCAGAGGCATTGTATAGTTACAACGTTACACAACTGTCATCTCTAACTACAAATATGTGACCACCGTAAAAGAGAACCCTAGACCATAAAACAACCCTTTGCAACCATGGACCTGAGGTCCCAGTGGATTAATCCATTGTAGATATTTTGTATAAATGGCATAATTTAGTATCTAAGGCATCTGACTTCTTTAACCTAGCCTAATCTTTTCATGGTTGATTCATGTTACACCATGTATCAGAACTCCATTCCTTCTTATGGTCCATTATTTTATAGATGCACAGCCACCGTTTGTTATCCATCTATCCATGAATAGGCATTTGTTTCTACCTGCTGGCTTCTGGGATACTGTCAGCACTGCTGCTATGAATGTGTATACAAGTATTCGTGTATGGGCTTGACTTGTTTGGGTGGGGTGCTGCAGCTCACTGTAAGGCTGGAGAACCTGAATCCTCATCTTCCTGCCTCCACCTCCCAAGAGCTGGGATGACAGGTGTGTGCCACCACAGCGTGCGTGCTTAGCTGTTTTGAATATGTACCTGGACTCAAACTGCTAGGCCACATGGAACTCTGTTCAAATTTTTTTTAAGGACTGCCAAACTCTTTTTTATGATGGCCAAAGTATGTTAAATTCCCCCCCAACAGAGCTCTCTACATCTCATTAATATTTGTTATTTCTATCTTTATTTTATTTTGTGAGAGATGAGATCTCACTGGGTTACCTGGTACTGACTGAATTCCAGGGCTCCGTTAACCTTCTGCCTCAGCCTGTTTGGCAGCCAGGATTACAGGCATGAGCCACTGTGGCAGCCCTATTTTGGGTTTTGTTTTATTTATTTTTAATTAATTTATTTATTTATTGGTTTTTCAAGACAGGGCTTCTCTATGTAGCCCTGGCTGTCCTGGAACTCGCTCTGTAGACCGCCTCAAACTCAGATTAACCTGCCTCTGCCTCGTGAGTGCTGGGATTATTGTTTTATTTTATTATTTTATTTTAAAGACAGGAGTCTTGTAGTAGAAAGATTTTCTGTGTCCCAGCCTGCCAGCAGTCGGGACAAATCTCTCCCAGTTGAGTCCCCTAAATAAACACACAGAGGCTTCTATTAATTAAACTGCTCGGCCATTAGCTCAGGCTTACTACTGACTAGCTCTTACACTTAAACTCAGCCCATTTCTGTTCATCTATATGTCGCCACGTGTTCCGTGGCTTTACCTGTGTGCTTTACATGCTGTTCCCTGGATGGTGGGCTGGTGTCTCCTGACTCAGTCTTCCTCTTCCCAGAATTCTCCTTGTCTGCTTATCCCACCCATACTTCCTGCCTGGCTACTGGGCAATCAACATTTTATTAAACCAGTATACAAAAGCATTATTCTACAGCATTTCCCCTTTTCTGTTTAATTAAAAAGGAAGGTTTTAACTTTAACATAGTAAAATTACATATAACAAACAGTTATCAAGCAAGAATTACAGTTACAATATCTAGTCTATTTGTATTTGGCAAAATTAAAGAAAATATTCTATCCTATATTTGTGAGTCTAAAGTTTTATATCTAATTTATCTTTTATCATAACCAAGGGAAATTATAACTATCTAGTGTTCAACTACATCAAAGACCCCAGAAGGATATAATATTACCTAAGTAAACAGGAAATGCATTATAAGCAACTTCCAAAAATCTAGACTGACAGAGACAGTTGGGCACCAGAGTCTTGCTATATAACCCCAAATGGCCTAGAACTCATGTTTACCATACTGGCCTTAAACTTACTTCCTTCTGCCTCTGCCTCCCCTCCCAAGTGACAAGGTTACAAGGCTGTGCCACCATGCCCAGTGTCCAGGCTGTTTGTTTTTAAACTATAGCCCTCTAGTAAGCATGAAGTTGTATATCATTGTGTTTATTACCGTGTGTGCATGAAGAGGTGTGTGCATGTGCACAGAGCATGTGTGGAGCTCAGAGGACAATTTTGTGGAGTCTGTTCTCTCCTTCTGCCTTTATGTCAGTTCTGGGAATCAAACTCAAGTCACCAGGATTGTATAGAAAGCACTTTTAACCACTGAGCCATCTCACTGTCCCCTCATTGTACATTCCTTAATGAATATTGGTTCTGTGTTTTGTTCTTGTGTTCTCTGGTTCTTGGCCATTTGTATATGCCTTTTGGAGACATGTTTAAGCTTGCCAGTGTTTCAGTTAGGGTTTTGTTTTGTTGTTGAGGCTTTTTTTTTTTTTTTTTTTTAAGATTTATTTATTTATTATGTATACAGCATGTATGACTGCAGGCCAGAAGAGGGCACCAGATCTCATTACAGATGGTTGTGAGCCACCATGTGATTGCTGGAATTGAACTCAGGACCTCTGGAAGAGCAGTCAGTGCTCTTAACCTCTGAGCCATCTCGCCAGCCCCGTTGTTGAGGCTTTTTTGTATTGTCCTGTTTATGTTTTTTGAAGCAGGGTCTCACTATCCAGCCCAAGCTGGCTGGAACTCATTGATCCTCCTCCCTCAGCTTCCAGTGAGCTAGGATATGGATGTGTTCCCATACCCTGCTGTGGAGTTTTAAGAGTTCCCTCTGCTCTGGGCACTAGGTGTGCAGTTGGTGTATGGCTTTCAAGCTTCTCTCCTGCTTGCTCAGCTGTATTTTCACTTTCCTGATAGTGTCCTTGGATACACAAAGATTTAGCTCTGATGAAGTCTAGTTAGCTTCTTTTATCTTCTCTTGCTCATGTTTTTGGCATCATACCAAAAGATTCCATTCTTAAATCTAGGCTGGGAAATTTTACCCATTTCATCTAAGAATATTATGGTGCCTTTGGCTGGAGGCATAATGAGCTCAGTTTCCTTTATGACTTAACACAGGCTCACAGGACACAAAGGCTCACAGGGCACAGAGGCTCATGTCTTGCACATGCTGGTTGGTTGAAGAGAGTGAAGAAGATTTTAGAATGGATGTCAGGGGTTCTGGTGTGTAATCTGCCACCCAGGAGGTGGAGGATGAAAATGTCAGGCGCTTTCTTCTTTGTTCTTATTATCTGGGAGGACTTGAAATAGTTGTAAGTAAATGTTGCCACACTGAGTGCCCAGTGAGGTGTAGGCAAGACTGTCAGGAGTTCAAGATCATCCTTAGGTACTTACTGAGTTTGAGGCCAACCCAGGCTACATGAGACCCTATCTCAAAAAGAGTTATGAAATTAAAGGAATTAGGTTTTTTAATAACTCTTAATAGATAACATTGGACCTTCATCTAAGTTAAACTAGTGAAAAAAAAACAAATTAACTAATTTTCTATATTTATAATTTTTAAAAAGTCTTATTAGCTGAACACATGACTCACACTTGTCAACTGATCACTGAGGAGGCTGAGACAAAAAGATGACTATGATTTTGAGGTCAGCCTGGGCTACTGTCTTAGTCTCTTTTCCTGTTGCTATAATAAAGTACCTTGACAAAAGCAACTGGAAAAGAGTTTATTGTAGGCAGAGTTTTTCTGTGTCTCAGCAATTGCTCCCAGATAACCACTCAGAGACTTATTGATTATAAATGCCTGGCTGATAGTTCAGGCTTATTACCAACTAGCTCTTGCAACTTAAATTAACCCTCTTCTGTAATCTATGTGCTGCCCCAAGGCTCATGGCATTTATCTTTCCTGCATGTCCTGCTTCCTTTCCATCTGGCTGACTACTCCTTTGACTCTGTCCTTTTATTTCCCCAGCATTCTCTCTGCCCCAAAAATCCTCCTACCCATTGGCCAATCAGCTTTTTATTAACAGATGAGAGTAAAGCATTTTCACAGCGTACAGAGAATTATTCTATAGCAGTTTATTTTAGCTTTCAGTTCAAAGTACAGTCAGTCCATCATGGTGAGGAAGTCAGATGTAAGAGCTTGAGGAAGCTGCTCACATCATATTCCCAGTAAGAAGCAGAGAGTGAAGGATGCATGAAGTTATTGCTCAGTTCCTTTTGTTCACATATGCAGTCCAGAGTTCCCTGCCTCAGACATGGTGCCACCCAGAGTTAAGGTGGGTCTTCATATATCAATTAGTGGAACAAAGTAATCCCCAACAAGCCCTTCTTCCACGTGATTTGAGAGTCTGTCAATCTAACCATCATAGCTACATAGTTCCAGGTCATCTGGGATGGAGCAAGATCTTGTGTCATAACAAATCAAACAGTAACAACAACATCAACAGATGCCTTCCTATATATTAACCTGAAGAAAAAGTCAAGAATTTTAGCTGGGTATGGGGGTACCCACCTGTAGTTCCATTACTTGACAAGTGGAGTTCAAGGTTATATATCCTCTGTTACTTAGAGTGATTGAGACAACCTGGGCTATACATAAAATCCTGTCTCAAAAAACCAGGACTGTTTATGATGGGCTGGCACGATGCTTCTGTGAGTAAAATCTTCTATGAAAGCTTGAGGACCTGAGTTTGGTTCCCAGAATCAGGAAGCCGGGCACCGTGGTATGGTCTGCGATCCCAGCACTTCCATAGCCAGATGGGAAGTGGAGATAGGAGAGTCTCCTGAGGCTCAGAGGGCGGCAATTCTGTGTACACAGCTGAAAAACAACAGCTCCTATCTCAGATGGTGTAAGGAAGACGTGGCCCCTGACCTCCACGTGTGTGCTGTGGCCTCACACATGTGCCTCACTCACACACAGAAATAAAGGAATAACCAAATCCGTGAGTTTAAAAACTGATTGGTCAAATTTCATTGACTAACAACATTCTTATGTTGGTGCATTTGTTTTCTCTCCAGGGTGAAGAGCATGTAAAATGCAGCCAGTGATCAAAACCAATGGTCTAATGTCTATGGAAGACAAATGGCCAGGACTTTGCTTCTTGGCTCCATTTACCTACCGCTTACTGCTCAGTAGGCATATCTGTAAATCCGAAGTTTCTACCAAAATGTGTGATCAGACATCACGAAGGCCTTTGCTTTAATTTTCCACACCTAGAAGACTTGCCAACATTCAGACCTGCTCTGTATTGCTCTCCATGCTGGCCAACAAGTTATAATGCCTGAAACCACAGGAGCAGAGGAAAGGGGATGAAAAGCGCATGTTTGCACCTTAGCCGTATGGCTTCTCTGGTTAATTTATATTTTCCTATGTAAGCTGTGTGTTTGTGTGTGTGTGTGTTGAGTTGTCACTTCTCTTCATGTTTTTAATCACCTACAAAAACCAAATAGGCTGTGTTGTTTCCTGTGGTTCTCAGCCTTGATGGACCCAATGTTACTCCTTTCTATTTACTTGAGTAATGTTTGACCGTCTGTGAGCCATTCCAGCATAAGCTGTGAGTTCATATTAACAGATATATACATTTCTATTTTTATAATCCATAGTGATATGCCTGTTTTAAAGAATGTTCATAAGAAATGCAACAAGAAAGCCCCAGACAGCCTCTTTGTGCTGTTTCCTCAGACTGTGTTTATGAAAGTTGGCCTGGGCCAAATCCATGCTTGGAGAATTAGCCATGTTTTATTTTTAGGTGAAAAGTAACCTTTCAGTAGCATTCATTATCTTAACCTGCAGTAGGTGTGTGCACATGTGTTTCTGTTGTATGTCTACATGTACATGGGTAGAAGTAGACAGGAGTGAATGTTCATACACATTTGCTTGTGTACTCAACTATGGCATGGGATATTTTTCTGAAGAACACAGAATGCAACTAGCTGCTGAGACTGAGTGTCCGTGTCCTGTCCAGAGCATGGGCACACTGCTGGCAACGCTAACGGCTGCTGCAGTTGGCAGAATACTCAGTCTCCTCCTGACATGAGTGTCCTTATGAATGTGTTCTGAGCCGGAAAGAAGCCGACTGTGTGCTGGTCCCCACTTCAGCCTGTGCCTCCACTGTGCAGCGTGGGGCCTGGCGGGTGTGGGGAGGGGCAGGCAGCTCTGTCACAGCCACACTTCCATGGCCTGGAGTGAGGGTCGAGGGCAGCGCCCACAGTCGGATACCGAGAGATGAGGACTCTACTTCTTCAGTCTTGCTACTTTGGCCAGATGCCCTGTTCTCTGTTGCTGCTAAATTAGAATTGGTCCTCACGCTGATGAGGCAGGAACTTAGCTTCCAAAAAAGAAGTGTTTGCCACAGACTGGCAGTTGAGGAGGAGGTATCATAGTCTTCAGGCATGTCCAACCTTTGACGTTGTGACTTGAAGCCTGAGAACTGAATGTTTTAAGTGAGTTTACAGTTTTGTGCTAGGACACATTTCCTAGCTATTCTGAGGCATGTGCAGCCTGCAAGCCATGGCTCAGACATGCCTGGCAGGTTGTCTGTGAGGTGGAACATGAGATGGATCTTTTGGCAGGCATTTAAACAAATGCTTCCCCTTAGCCTAAAGATCCCTTGAGCTCAAGCTTCAAACTTAGGTGTGTATGACCACTGACAGACCACTAGCCCAGCTTGCTGGGTTCTCTGTGCTTAAGAAAAATGGACATTTAAGGATATTTAATGTCTTCTTAGGACCATAAATGTAGACAAAGGATTGTTGATATTCAGGCCCTTCAGAATTTAAGTGTTTTTAAATATGGTGTTCAGACTGTAATGGGTGTGTTCTCAGTCTACTCAGTCATATTCTTTTTACTTTGCAGAACAGCCCATGACTTTATGTTGCTTTGTGCAGTACCTTTTGAATTCTCTAAGTTGTTTTCAAAGCAAACATTCCATGATGAATGTGGCTCCTCAGTGGCATGTCTGCGTTGTGCTTGAAGATTCTGCAGGTTCTGGTTGTAATTGCAGCGTCAGCCCCAAGTAGAGGAGATGGACTGTGGAGTGAGATTTCATTGCACTTTGAGTCTGTTCGTGTGTCTAGATGGCTTTAGTGTTCTGGAGTAATCAAGCCAAGAGAATGAATGGCCCTTGGTGGTGAGTGCTCTGGGAACTCTGCTGGCCCCTCTCCCTCAGAGCCTGGGATTGCATCTCTGGTCCTGATCCAACAGCATCTCCATCTCCATCCCCATCTAGTGGCAGTGCAGACTAACTGCACTTCCTTCCCAGAGGACAGCAGCCTGCGAGGCCAGAGCCCTGGGCCATCATCATCCAGGGCAGGAAGAGGCCTGTGCCTCCCTCAGCAGAGCCTGTCTCCTTTTTCTTTTGATCTCAGAGATTAAGGAGAAAATATAATTGTGAATTCACACCAGTCCGACTCTATCATTTTAGAACCCACTTCCCACATATTGGAGCAACCGGTGCAATATGGAATTGATCTGGTCTGGTCAACTTTTAGGCTGTAACTGAAGTTCTTAATTTGTTTTCTATCTTATCTAAAATCTTTTGTGATACCTGAATCAGAACCTTATAGCAGCCGTCCCTGTGACTATTTGCCTTGTAGACAGTGCTTAGCATCACCATCTAGAATTTACCATCTTTGAACTGTGATGGGTTTGCTTTGGCTGGTTATAAAAAATACAGATTTAGACTGGGCTTCATTTTTAGTTAAAGGCAAGTAAAATTAACAAAAATCAATATATTTTACAGAAATCAGCTGCATGTTGTTACAAATATTAAAGTATATATTTTGTTTTTTAAAGATGAGAGCTAATTAAACCACATGGTATTTGGGGGCAATGAAGGATGTTTTTCTTAGAAGAGCATTGTACAATTATATTTTTTATGAAAAATAAAGTATATTCACCAAAGCATGTCAAATTGCCTGTTTCACAATGCTGAAATACTCTGCATATACCTAGAATGGTTGAAAGAAAGAAAGAAAGAAAAAGAAAGAAAGAAAGAAAGAAAGAAAGAAAGAAAGAAAAAGAAAGAAAGAAAGAAAGAAAGAAAGAAAGAAAGAAAGAAAGAAAGAAAGAAAGAAAGAAAGAAAGAAAGAAAGAGGGGGCTGGAGAGATGGTTCAGTGGTTAAGAGCACTGCTTGCTCTTCCAGAGGTTCTGAGTTCAATTCCCAGCAACCACTTGGTGGATCACAACCATCTGTAATGAGATCTGTTGCTCTCTTCTGGCCTGCAGACATACATGCAGACAGAACACTGTATACATGATAAATAAATAGAAGAAGAAAGGAAAGAAAGAAAGTATTGGGGAAAAATTATAAAGGCCACTCCACGTAGTTAAAAGGAAGATTTATTTAGTGGATGACTTACAAATGAAGGAATGGATAGGTCACGGGGGTCTGGGGAAGGTGTATCGCAATCCAGCGGTGTTCTCTGGAGCTCTGCACAATCAATCTCCACCATCCAGGGTCCAGGCGCAGAGCGCGTGCCCAGAGCAAGCGCTTGCCCATCCAGCTCTCCGGTTTCCAGCACCTCCCCTCGCCCCACCTCGTAGGCGTGACAGTTGCCAGAGTCTCAATGGGGGTTGGAGCTTCCAGATCCAAGCTGGAATGGCT